AACTTGATGCAGATTTCTTAAACATGTACTGATTTACATACGACAGAATATTACATTGGAGGAGACTTTAAAGATCACAGCATAACCCCATTATTTCATAGACAAGAAAACAGAGAGCAAAAGTTTCCAATGATTTGCTTGTTATATATGTATTTCATATTCAGTATCATTTAATATTGCCCATACTTAATCTCTCAACTGTAAGTAGCTTGTTAAAGATATGAAGCTTGTGATTAACTATTCGCATTACATATGGTTTCAGAATATTACCATATTGTGGTGATTAAATTTTCAAAATGAACACAATTTTTATAATCACTAATGGTTTTTAAGATTATGCTCTATCTATATTCCTCTGAAGTTCATAAGGGCTGGGTGTGGTACTATATCAATTTTGTAAATTGTACTGGATGTGTAGAAAAGGGTCTTAAAGGAAAAAGTGAAACGTTAGTGGGTAGTTGAGGAGGAAAAGTGTCAGCTGTGTTTGATAAAGCATACAATTCACAAACAAGGGTTTCAACCTCTCTGGGGTCCAGAGACAGTATCACCAATGACTTTCTGAAAGCTGCTTTGATGGCATCATAGGAGAATGAACTAGTGGATTAGGATAAGAAATGAGCCACATCGAATCTCTAATGACAGCTATTCGTGGCTACCAGGCTGAGCTACTCTTTCTTCTCTGGACAGTGCTGGATAAACAGTGGCAAGTTTGTATTCTCAGATTCCCCTTTATACCCAGGTCCACACCATTTACCTTTGCCTGGCAACATTCTTTATCCAGCCAAGGCAAAAGGAAATCGATTGCATTTCAGCTTCTAGATTTACAGCAAAGACACACAAGCCACTGTTCACATTTAGAGTAATCTCGGAGTATTTCAAAAGATTCTCATGCATACTACTTGAGGTTTCCTGAATTCACACTGTATTATGCTCACATACAGACTATAGCACCTTCTCATATACGCAGGCTAAGTATGACAATCAGAAAACAAAAATCAGATTTCAATAATCAATATTCTACTTCCTAAACCATCAAGTGTAAAAACCAATAAACCAAGTCATAGCATATGCCATTATAAAAAATACTGCACACTTTGGGACCTTCTAACAAGTACAAGCAGATTTCAGACCTCAAATATATAAAAGTTGTCAAGTGCAAAGTGCACTTTAATGCAAACCAACTGATGGCATTAGCCTAGTTCTTTACATAAGCAGAAAGAGAAGTCCACTATGATAACATGAAAAAAAAAAAAAATGTTCAAAGTGCTTCACAAATACCACCATCAGCTACTCAGGACTTCAAACCAAAAATAACAATAACATGACCTGAAACAGTCAAATGCTCTTGCTGTCTAAAGAATTTCTCCATAAAATGACTAGCAGGATTCTAAGTTAAGATCCTTACTACAGCAAAACTATAGAACAGCATGTTACAGCTACCACAGATTTTGGAAAGGTTAAGTCCAGTCCTGCTTCCCAGCAGATACAGCCTACAGAATTCTGTCATATTGTCCTGCTTTGTCATCAACTGCTAAAATATGGAAATAGACACAGATTTACATGTAGAAACTTAAAACACAGCAAAGACGGCATATTTCTTTCCTATTGTTTGAATACAGAAGCAGCATACTTCTTTTTCACGGTATGTCAATGGACTAACACTTGAGTTAAGGGTTTAGTGTGAATAATAAATATTACTGGATTTATTTCTTTTCTGAAAAACAGGCGAATTAAAAGTAGCATGTCGCTACATCAGGCACTATCGATGTGACTACTCATTAAGACGGTGGTAAATTAGTTATTCTCTATCACTGTATGAGGAAGGCTTTTTTTCTTAGATTTATTCTAACAATATGAAATCAAAATAGACAAAATGTATTATTTTATTAATAAGGGTTACAATGAGATTCTCTAAATAGAAAAATGTTTTCTATTTTCTAGCACGAAAAACAAAGCTTTACCACTCAAATCTCATACAAAGATAGAATTTATAGAACTTTTCCTTAGGCACTCCAGCCGAGAGAGGTGTGCGAAGGCATGTGTGACAGCAAAGCAAACCAGAAACTGAAATGGAGAGAGAGACAAAGCAGACACACGTATACCACAAAGAATGAAGCGGAAGCAGGAGCCGTGGCCAGATCAGGAAAGAATAAAGGGATGATGTCACAGGTTGGAACTTCCTCCTCCAACAAGAAACCCCAAACAAGCCTCTAAACAGCTGTGGGCAGGAGGGACGGTCCATGGAGCATGAGGGCAGAGAGCCAGCTTACAACAGAACACTGCCTGAACTTGAATTTCAGTTCTGTGATGAGCTGTGTGACTTTAACTACTTTAAACCTCTTGTGCTTGTTTCCTCATCTGTGACACACAGCTAATATAACCTATTTTCTAGGATTAGGAAGGCCAAATGAATTAAAACACCAGAAGTGCTTAAGACAGAGCCTAGCGGATAGCACCAGGTCAGTGACTGCTACTAACAATCCTAGATCTGCACTGCTGGCAGACAGACATAAACTAAAAATAAGAAAGTATGCCAGATCATAACTGGAATGTTAACTATATTATAATCACCCACTTGATGATACAGTTGATAAGTATATTTGTACTAATAATTTGGATGTTGAGTAAGGGACAGTATATAGATTCACATTGCTTTAAACATTAAGGAAATTTTCATTTTTCTATATAGTACAATCTAAATAAACATAAAGAGCATGAATCAAACAACTCTGAAAATCTTTTTCCTGACCAGGATTTTACTGATCACTAAGACTGATTGAAAAACACTTGTCAAAGAGTTAACCTGGAGTGTTTACTGCTTCAGCTATACTCAAAAGGCAGAGTTCAAACTATAATAAAACTCTTTAGTGCCCCTTTCTCTACAGGAATGGCAAGGTAGAAGACATCTGTCTACAACTGTGACCTAAGTCAGCTGTAGCAATAGGAAAATCTGAGGAAAAGAGATGGGCAAATGTAAATTTATACTTCCACATATAGATCATCCAACATGCAAAAACACACACAAGCCATTGTTATTGATATTAAACCTATCACACAAGTTAGGATGCCAAGACAGTCGGTGAATGAAATCCTTTGTGAACAACTGCAAAATTGCAAACACAAAGATTTCATTTTCAAGTCACTTTGACTACTCTGAGCAGGCAAAAGCATAATCATTTAAAAAAGCAACGTGTTTTTTAAAGCTATAAAACATAAAATTATCCTTGCTGTAGATGATTTGTTTTTTAAAAAATTAACTAGGGTAGGCAGGAAGATAATTAATAGGTCCAATGGTCCAAATAATTTTAAGTACTTAAGAATTCAATGTCCTTCCAAGGAAAAATCTACTAACAGCAGACTAAGCACCAACTCTTAAATCCTTCAAAACTGGAGTGTATTGGGGTAGAGCCCGAGATGTTTCTGATGCACTGTAAACCGTTCTAAGTGACAGCAAGAACGTCAGTCCTAGGTTTGCAGCAGGTGCAGAGAAGGCAGTGCGGAGACTCCTGGCAAATAAGGCTTTGAAAGCTGCAGACAGAAAAATCCCCAGAGAATAAGAACTTTAAAGGATATACATATTTTTTCTATTATCCAAGACTAAAACAGAATTAATTTTTTCTCTTGGACAATGGATTCTTTGTACACAGGACATAAATTATCTACAATTAACAGAGTTAAATAAAGTAGCACTATATTTAATACAGAAAAATGTAAAATATTCTCAATTTGTACAACAAAAGCTCAACATACACTATAAAAGACTAGCAAACTGTGACCTAATGAGATATGACAAGATTAAAATTAACTCAAAATGTAAATGTGATAAAAATAGGAAATATTAAAATTAACATAAAACCAAAGATCAACTCTGAAATAGATACATTATTTTCTATTCTATGGTCATTTCCTCCATAATAACAATTTAGGGTCAAAAACCCTGTAATGGGAAAATTCAGAGTCAAAGAGCATAGATTCTATGGGAAAAATAGAACAGGAACAATTTTAATGATGAATGTAAGTTAAACAAGTAAGATGGTCAATAAGGAATATCAATAATATATTTGTATTGTATATGACTGATTCCTAGCTATTGTGCTTTGCCTTATATTATTTCAAAATTTTCCTCCACCTACACTCAATACAATGCCTATAAGTCCACTTCTTTTGCAATAGAAAATCCTCCATTCTTTCTTCTTCTATGTATGACCTTCCATTAAACATTCACTGCCTAATTGTATTACCAAGTTGTTGATTCTCCCCAGTTCCTGGGCTGCAAAAGAATTCACTCATTTTTACATTTTATAGACATCACTAAAGGGAG